AACCAGGCCTATTTTGTCAGAGGTACACTTCCTCCACAGTGACACCCAGCACACAAGGCCACTTTCCCTCCAGATCCGACCCCCAGTGATTCTCAGTGATCACCCAGCAGTTGCCCACACCTAGACATGCCTGCTGGAGATACTGTCACCTCTGGGTCTTATTGGAGGTCTCCATGATTCTGGCACTATGACAGAAACCGAAAAACCCAGGCTCATCCAACAAATCTTTTTTTCAGGATTTTTTTGTTTTTTAAAGATTTATTTTATTTAACAACAGAGTGGAAGGGAGGAGGGTGCAGGTGGAGAGACAGAATGATACTCCATTCAAGTTTCACTTCCCAGATGGTTGCAACAGCCAAGGTTGGGCCAGGTTGAAGCCAGGAGCTCCATCCTGGTCTCCTGTGTGTGTGCAGAGGCCCAAGCACTTGGGCCATCCTCCGTTGCTTTCTCAAGCACTTTAGCAGGGAATTGGATTAGAAGCAGAGTGCCATTCCAGTGCTCCTATGGGATGCCAGTGTTGCAAGCAGCAGCTTGACCACCTGTTACATAACACTGACCGGACTCACATGCAATAGATCTTTAAGAGAAAACCCCCAAATTAGAACTTATACAGGAATGTGTTTTTCTCATATGAGATACAGTGGAAAGGCTGGACTACAGAAATGAGATGCTAATCAAGGGTCACACAGCTCAGCTTTTATTAAAATGAGACACAAAGTATATGGGAGACTAGGACATGATTCCTGTAAAAACAACACATTTGAGGAAATGGCTGTAACTGATCAAGCATGTGACAGGTGCTCTTTTATCACTGTGCAGTGTGGCCCAGCTTTGGAACTTACCTGTGCAATGTGCAGCACAGGGCATCAGCGGTCAAGGCTGCTTGCCCTTGACAAGCACAGCACCACACACACGCGCGCGTGCATGCACACACGTGCACACGCACACACACACACACACACACAGTGTCCGCAATGCTTTTTCAGAGAAAGCATTGTACAAGTCATATACAAATGGAACAAGAAGTTCAAACCAGGTCCTTTATTGCCACTGAAAAGGGGGAAAGCCACTGACAATCTCATAACACAACACGAGGGCCATTTGCTTCCAGGCATTCCTGCTGTGGCTGATGCCACATCCATCAGTCACTGAGTCCCATGAAGAAGGGCATGCAGGGCTTAGGAGGCTGCCCTCAGCTGCTATGGACTACACTGCTTCCATTCCCAAGGGTGAGCAGTGTTGCTGGCTCTCCTGCTTTGTCAGTAGATATACAACATAGCTGAACATGAGGGGCTCAGGACTCTAAATAGTGCAAACACGTGAGAAAATAAAAATACATTCCAACCTCCTTGCTTTCTCCAAGCAAGCAGAGGCCTTAAGCTTTATTCCAGCTGATTGGAGTAAGAGTTTGCAACCTTTCAACGTGAACCAATTGAGTGCAAAGGCGGAATGCAGAGGTGATCTAAATGTCAACTGTTCCAACAGTAATAAAACAAACATGAGGGTAATGGCAGAGAAACCCACCAAACAGAGGCTGGAGTAGACGGCGGCCAAGACATGAGGCGTGAGCATGAGGAAGCATCTGCAAAGCGCACGTCCAACACATCCCTGCTGGGGACTGTGAGGGGTGACCCGTCCTTTATAGTTCAGAAACAGGACCCTTCCAAAAGGGACATCACCTGGCAGTAAAGGCCACAGCTTCTGAAAGCTGAAGAGTGAGGGGACAGAGAATGAACAATGGTCTGTCAAGCCTAAGAAGCACAGAGGGCAGACGGCGAAGGGCCAGACTTTACCGAGGCCTCTCTCTGCCACAGTGTGCCAGGCTCAGTGCCAGAGACACCACAAGACGAGTCAATCCAGCCCCACCCTTGCAGAAAGCAGATTTTAAAAAAGAAGAGGAAGATAAGCAATGTAGACAGGTGAATATTAAGTCAACCTTGACATCAGTCCCTGACCATGTTTTTAAATTCAGCAGTCTCTCTTGAATACGGTACAAAACAGGAGACCCACCAACCTGGAGCTCCAGAAAAGCATGTTTGGGGAATGTAAGAAACAAAGGGAAGATGGCTACAAGGCAAAAACCATGCTTGAGGGTGAACAATAGAGAACATAACATTGCATTATTGTGGACAATATAAAGCGATTCCAATATTGTGGAAAATCATCTTATAAAAAATAACAACATTAAAATTTCAGCCTGAAAGCTGTAGCTTCGATTTTATAAAAAGGCAATCTTTGAAAGGATCTGGCTCAGAAATATACAAACATTACACATCAGATATCAAAGTAAGACAGCTCAAAAAGCATCTCAGGGGATATTACAACTGGCTTGTCACAAAACAGAATTAAATATTCTTATTGCATAGCAGAAAATGAGGTCACTTGCATTTGCATAATACTGCAACTTTTTAGATAGAGAGATGTCATTGGATACTTACGAGAAATAACTTTGGAATTCAGAATCTGACTTCTACATGGGTTAAATCAGTATCCAAGTAGCATTTCTAACCTTGAGCCTCAATCCCATCTTGGCACTGCCACCAGATTTCAGATACGACAACAGGCAGACCTGCAGTTACTGGCATGAGTGGCCACCTTGAGGCAGACAGGAGGATTGACCCTCTCAGTGACCAGCAGAGACCTGACAGCAAGTTGATTGCCTCTGCCATGGACAGAGAATCGTACCAGGCAACAAAGAGGCAACAGTTTTGGGGTAGAATCTGTGGGCAACTAAAGAAGACTGGCTTTTGGGTGAGAATGCGCCCGTGTTCTAGTCAACATGAGGAAGGACACCATGACATGAACATGGCCTCAGCAGCACCACCAGAGGAGGCAGGGCTTCTGAGGAAGGGAGAATGGGGCCAAGAGCAGAAACCCAGAGGCAGAAAATGTGACTGGCTTGTTTGCAGGGGAGGCCCTTCCCTGGGAAGGTGACCCTTGACACACAGCCCCCTTCACACAAGCAGGAAAGACGTGCTTCTCAGTGATGGGGTCACGGGTGGGGAACGCACCTCTCACCTGAAACGGAGAACTTGTGCCAACAGCACATATCAGACCCCAGTCCCCAATCCCAAACATGGTTATGTGCAACAGAAGGCTCATGCCATCACCTCAGAAACCACAGTCATCTCACCACCAAGAGAGGCCTGGGCACCCATCCAAAACATGCAAGGATTCCTTCAGGGACATTTCTTCATGATCCACCCAAACCAGATGTTTTAGCTTCTCCCTGAGGATAATAACAACACCTGTAGATGCCCTGCCTCACATCAGAACGAAGTTTCATCTTCAGAATCATGCATTTAGTGCACAGCATACAGTAAAAGCACAAAGCGACCAACTAGCCAGGGAGATGCCTGGGTTGTTGAACTGCAACAGCCCATTAGGGAGAGATGTCAATGCCCTGTGGTATCTGCATGAAAGAAGCCCAGTTGTGTCAAGAACCCACGTCAGCTGCACCCCAGCCCCTGGGTGTGAAGCTGTTCTTCAGACACAGGACCTTCCCACTGCTGATGTGAGCCACTCCAATGTAGGAACAGCATGGCTCTAAGCTTCTCTCTCTCTCTCTGTCTCTCTCTCTCTATTTTTCTTTCCCTCTCTCTCCATATCTCTTTAATGCAAATGACCCCATACCCTCAAATATCCTCTCTGGTTGCTTCAAGGTCTGTCAATCACTTTTGCCTGTGAATTAGCAAAGCTGCCATCAAGTTTCTCTCTTCACATCCAAGAATCTCTGGGAGAGATTCACAAATCCACAGCGCCCACTACCATCTCCTGACCCCACAAGGGAAGCAAGGTGGGAACAGGGCATGTTCTGGGTGTTGGGCAGAAATTACAGACCCTGGAACAAGAGGAGAGCAAAGGAAAGAAAGACAAGGATATCAGACAGACGCAAGCATCACCACTAAGCACTGAGAGCCAGCACCGTCCTGGTCCGTCATAACAGCATAAGCTCCTGGTAAACACCAGCACAGACTCAGCTTTGTGTTTGGAAGTATGGTGATCTTTGACTCATTTTCCAGACCAGAATACTTCTGAGAGTAAAATGGGTTCCGATGAATGGTTAAACCTGGATGTGAAGGTTAAATGGGGACTGCTGGGCTCCAGGAAGACCCAGAAAAAATCCCTTTCTGAGACCACTATGGGCAAAAACTGAATCCTTACCACTTTAAGGGGGTTTTTTTTATATCTTTTTTTGTGCTTTCCTTCTCTATTTTTTTTCCTCCAGTGTGCAACCTGGGGCTTGGCTTCTCTGAAGTGCTGCTCTTCCAACGTGAAGAAACACAAAATCCTCCCAAACCTTGACTCGATGACACAAAGAACAAACAGCCCTCAGCTTCCTCCTGGAAGACAGCCTAAGGAGGAAGGGCTAGCTGAAGCTCAGGAGAAACTTGTCTGCTCCCCAGTCTAGTACAGAAAGCACACCACATAGCTCCGAGAGAGCCCCAGCTTCAGTGCAGAGATCTAGTAGTCAAGTCACATGTGTGGGCACGGTGAGAGGACTGCTCATCCCACCCAGGACTTCAGGATCTTCTCAGCCTGTCCAGTGGACCTCCAGGAAGCAGCAGCTTTCGTGGTTCAGGATCCCCGTGGGACAACTCCACAAGACAGGCTTCCATAATTTGATTTTCAGCATCGAAAAAAGATCAGTAGTAAAGAAATCCAGTAGACCATCACACATCTCACACGTTAACCACTCAATTGAGTGAATCATCATCATCATCATCATCATCGTCATCTCTCTGTCTCACACACACACACATACACACATACTCCAAATTCTCTGTTGTCCCTGTAGAAACACAAAAAATAAAAGGCCCAGAGGTGCTTCTGGGGCATTCAGGAATCCCACTGCTCTGGAGCAGAGATCAAAGCACCTCAAGGGAAGAGGACTTGGTCACCAGCTTCCACTCTGTAAGGGATGATGTTGGTCTGCCAAGCTGGAGGAGGGTAGCTGTTGCAACCCCGGGGTTAAATCCAGCCTTCGTGGTCCCGCTGTTGAGTCACAGGAAGCAGCCGCTCCTTCCTCCACCTCCTGGCAGTGGGAATTTGGGTCACAAGGACTTGTGAATCACAGCAACACCTAATATGAAAGGGGGAGAGTTATTCATAGTGAGCTGCAGTTCGGATATCAGTGTGGACACTGAATGTCTCCAGAAGGCCTCAGGGTGCTACTGGGGGGAAGTAGAACCTTCAGTAGGTGGGGCCTGGGGAAAGTCCTTGGGTCACTTGGGACACCCCTCCCCCAGAAAGTTCTCATGAGGGGCTGGCATTAAAGCCTGATTTTGAGCCCAACCTGTCTCTCTGCTTTCTGGCTTGTCAGGTGGCCTTCCTCTGCATATAGCTGGCCATGGCCATCCAGTGTCCTCACTGAGCCTGCAACAATAGGGAAGCCCCATCTTTGACTTAAAACTCCAAAACTGCGAGGTAAACAACTGTTTTCTCTTTTTTAACTTAAGGTATTTTATTATGGTAATAAAAAACTAATACAAACTTCCAATGTGTTCACAAATAAAGATCTCCTAAGTTATAGCCAAAGGAAACAGGTATAACTTGTGTTGAGATACTGAAGGCAATGTAGGCACGGGCTGTTTCCCACTTAAAAATGGCTAAGTTCTGTCAAGATACTGAAGCATGTAAGCACACTCCCTCACAGCTCCCAGGCTGGTAAGCTCAGCCCATATCATCACACAGTCTCATCCAGGATCACAAAGACCCTCAATCCCAACCGCTTGTGTTTCACTCAGCTTGTCTAGGCTCGGCACCCTCACTGGAAGCCCAGAGACATGTACGCAGCTTTAAATCTGTAACACTGTAATGGAAATACTGAGTGATTTTTTGTCTGCTTCTAGGGATACAGGAAGGAACTGTAAAGAGCAGAAGACTGAGTTCTGGAAAACTGAATGGCAAACCTAGCCGTGGCACCACTCAAGCTGCACCATGGCCTTAGGCAGGTCTATATATCCTTTTGGGCCCAAGGATCCCTCTAGTGTTAACTTTTCTACTTGGACACACCCTGCAGTACCCATGGGTTACTGTTTCAGTCAGGTCAAACTCTACTCAGCACCTAAGTTTGAAAATCCATGTTTCGGGCAAAAGTCTTACTGTAATGGACTGAAGCTATGCAGAAAACATTATAGACTGAGTCAATCAATATCTTTTCTTGCTGTCTTCTGCAAGATTTATCTACTCAAAAACCAGAGGAAAAATGACAGTAAGAGCAAGAAAAAGGGAGAGAAAAAGAGAGACAGACAGACATAAAGATCTCCCATCCATTGGTTCTCTCCCAAATGGTCACAATAACAGTCTGGACCAGGTCAAAAAATAAGAACCAGGAATTTTATCCTAGTCTCTTGTGAGAGGCAGTGGCTCAAAAATGTGGGTTTCTGCTGCCTTCCCAGGTGCATTAGCAGAAATTTTTATTAGAAGCAGAACAGCTGGGACTCAAATCTACACTCCCATACAAGACATAAGCATAGCATGCAGTGACTTAATGTACTGTACCACTACATCGTCCTCTGTCCTTTACTACAGACACCAACAAGCTTCAAGCTCAGCTTCCCACACTACCTTGGAGCTAAAAATATCACACAACCCACTCCTAGGCCATGCGATGGCAAGCGCACGGCTGCTGATGCTGCAATGTTGGCTTGTCCTTGTCCTGTCTCGAATGCTTCAACAAGGGGCAATAGCAGCTACTGACAGAGCTAGCAAATCAGAAAACAGCAAATCTCCTCTTCAATGATGGTCTCAGCCAGCAGACCAACCCTGGATTTTTTCCCATCTAAAACCAATGCTTTCTCTTCAGATGCTAAATAACACCCTAAGTGTCAGGACAGTTAAGATGCTTACCACAGTCTCAACATGTTCCCACAACTACACAGTTTTCTGGTTGATGAGACCAGTAGGACCTGGCTTCATGGGAGGGATTCTAGTAACATCCATTTTCTGTTAATTCTGGGAGACACAGACACATATATGTTCTACAGAATCTGAGTTCAGACCCAGATGCACTGCCTGATGTTAACAACTCCTGGCTTGTGTTTGTGGTTTTTCTTTGACAGTGTAGCATTTAAAAAAAAAAAAAGGAAAAGCAGCCTCTTTTTTTTTTTTTTTTTGTATAAGCTTTCTCTTTTGATAATAAAGATAATATATCTTCATTATGAGATTTGGAAAACATAGAACACAAAGAAAACACTCTCTAATCTCATTATATGAAGAGGAAACCACCAATACCTACCTAGACTACTTCCTGGCCTCTGATAATAACCACAGTCATTCACTGAAAGGCATCTGTTGCCAGGCAGCCATTGTGCTACCTGTTTCACACATATTATCCCATTTCATTCACTTAAGAGACCTCACAGACTCTGCCCCATTCTATTGAGGTTCCACCAGCTTGAATACCTGGCCCAGGAACCCGAGGTTTGTGGCAGAGCTGGGATTCAAATTCAGATATGCCTGCAGAATCCAGTTCCAGAAGCATAACTATTAATCCCACTGGACTCCACCATGCAGCTGAGCTTCCAGGTTACATACAACACTGTGTCCTCCCCACTACAGATTACTTATTTTCCTTGTGTTAGATTTTAAGTAGTATTTGGGGTTTTCCTGTTATAAGCAGTGCTCCAATGAGTATCTTTGTTCATAAATCCTATCATTTTAGAGCATTAGGTTCTAAGATAATTGACTCTTTCTGTCAATGGATTTGAACACAAGCCTGTGAGTTTGTTATCTTTCGACCTACTTCTGGGAGGGGGCAGACAATGGAGAAAGGGAAACGAAATATTCAACATGAAGATGAAATTCTCACCATCCACACTTAGCTCTTCTTCCCCTCTCATTAGAGCACATGGGGAACCTGCAAGTGCAGGGTGGGAGTGTGGAATCTCTTCCTGACCTAATCCTAGGAAATGCCCTACTCTTCTGACTACAGCTTCAAGACGGGATTGACAGTGCTGGTTGCACAACTAACCACAGGAACAGAACTGCTCTAGAACTAAAATGATTCTCAAAGTTTTTGCAGTTAGTAAAAAAAAAAAAAAAATCACAAAAATGTCACAAATGCCCTACCAAGGGAACAAAGGAATAAATGATGGCACTACAGTGGAAGTCATGTGTTAAAACCATGTGATACAAATGCACTCACGCTTGAGACACAACCTTCCTTTAAAACAAAATCAAAACAAGGAGGACAGAGTAGAAGAAAGCCACTGGGATTGTTGTGTAGATGACATGAGGTAATGATTGTAAAACACTGGTGTTCTTGACAGGGGACCACACATTGTCTATTCCATTCCTACACAATCAGACACAAGGCTACATCGTGGGTATTTGTTTACCTGCCCCCCCGGTGACCCCAAACTTCAGCTGCATCAACTCTGCTGTCAATCCCTGCTCCCTGCACCTCACCACACACTCCCTGAGTGGCAACCTCCATAGCAGCCTTACATCCTGCTTCTCCCTCCTAGCCTCTTGCCCGGAGCGCCTGCCTCCCACTCACAGCTTGGCGATGACAAGCCTAATGGGTTTATAAATCAGACTTTGGGTTCGAATGCCAACTTTGCCACTTATTAATGGTGTGGCCTTCTGCAAATTATTTAACCTCTCCAAACCTCCATGTCATTATCTTTTACACTTGATCTTAGCCAAAAGGCCGAGAAGCGATCATGTCATTATCTTTTAAATGGTGGATGCAGTCCAGTTCAACCCGAGTTGCTGCAAGAATAAGCATGAACCTATGTGCACTGTATCCCCACACAGTCCCACAGCACAGAGAAGGGGCACCCAGGAAAAAACAGATGTTTGTGGAACAGGGTCCACTCCCAAAGTGTAACCTGATGCTACCAATTTTCATAGGCCTGCCATGTGTTTCATCTACAACGTGTGTGTACATCACTTATTCTGTGCAGGCAGGCCTCAGCTTTCCAATTCCGGTTCTGGAGCCCAAGAATTATATCTGATGGCATCCAGGAGCCTTGCACAAAAGAATCCAGGAATGGCAAGGAAATGCTAAAACCTCTTACAGCAACTCAACTGGAAGAGGCTCCTTGGATGGACGGCTCTGCTAAGAATTTGGAAGCCACATTTAGGATCACACAGGGGAAAGTGCTAATTTTCAGCATCTGTCACAGGCACAAAATGGGAGCTTACCTCTGGACAATAATCTGCCATCGTTGCATGAGGCACTAGGCCTCCAGGGAAGCAAGCCCACAGCCTCTCACCCCTCGCCCTTTACTCCTCACCCCCAACCCCTGGGCTGGAAAGCAAACACACTGACCTGCATAGCTGCGCCCTGTGCTCATGTTGGTGGGCAGTAGTGTCCATTTGTCGGTGACTGGGTTGTAGTACTCCACTGAGGCCAAGTTGCAGGAGCCGTCATCCCCGCCGACCACATACAGCAGCCCGTTGACTGCACAGACTCCTGGGAATCAGCAGAAGCCACCGGGTAAGACCTTGCAACAGGAGCTCTGGATTGCAGAGAGGATGGGAGGCAGCTCAGGCCAGCCTGGGGCCCATTTTCTTCACAGGGTTCACTGGGCTTAAGGGAGGAACACATTGATACAGCCACCTGGCTCCTGGGGACAGCCAGCCCTCTCTAACAAAGTCTTTTCTCTGACCAGGGATTTCCCATCCCTAATGGTCCCACAAGTATTCCCTACTCACCGGTAAGTTTGTAAACAGTAAAAACGGTGGGCCCCTCTCTGCTAGAGTGCTGCCCATGGTGTGTGCAGACCTCCATGCAGTGCTTGAGCAAAAAATAGGACTACTCAGGGATTTCAAGCACATTGCTCCTTTTCTGCACTTAGGCGTTTGCCTGATGGCCCCTACTTTCCATCTGTACCATGTTTGTGACTTCTTTGTAGGATCAGATTTTAAACTCACACTCAATTCCAGAGTGATGGTTTCCCTTCCACCCCCATGATGGAGTGGGCTAGCTATGGGGGCAGGGACTCACGAAGCAGGACCGAAGATCAGGAAATGTAACCATTGTTCCCCAGGACTTTAAGTGGCTGTAACCCAATACGCTATGTGCTGTTTCAAATTAGATGCAGGAGCTGAAGATGCTCCAAAAGAAATAATCATGACCACTGGGGAAAGCTCAGGCACTCCAACACTGGGAATAGCGTAAAGCAAACCACCCTCTTGCTACTCTGCAGCATACACGGCCCCTCTGACTGCAAGTTCCACTCATGGCCTTCTACTCTACAGAAATCACTGAGATCACATGTACTGATGGAGCTATGAGGGCTATTTACAAGTACCAGCATAGAAAAGAGGGTAGTAACATAACTGTCCAATTGGAGGTTGCTTATTACATTTTTTTTATTATTTCGTGATACAGTTGATTGCTTATTTAAATTATGATACAGCCATTTAAAATATCACCTAAACACATTTAGTGCTACAATCAGACATTTGTGAACAATTTTAAGATATGTCAACATATTAACACCTAAACTTAAAACTCTCAGCCTCTAAATCAACTAGATACTTTAAGTCCTATAATCCTTCACCCAAAGGACTTAAGGCCAGCTGCCAAGTCCACAAGTCAGCCACGAATTAGTTTAGCAAACAAATAATATGAAAAGTGAGGACATAAATCTTCCCAAGAGTCACCTTTCTTTCCAGCCAAAGAGCAAAGCTAAGCCAACACTTTCTTAGGGTAAAGAAACAGAAGCAAGGTATTGACACAGGGCATGCCCCCCACCCCAGGGCAAGGTTCTAAAAGGAACAGGCTTTACAGGGTCTCATGCTCCAGAAGACAAAAGCCTAAGTATCCACAGGAAGGAATAAGGGATGAGGAAAGAGGAGGCTGAAGGGCAGAGAAGGGCACAGTGGAAGAGGTCCCACTGGGCAATCGGACAAGGCCTTGGTTGTTCCTGCAGAAAGGAAACTGGTTCCATGTGGGAAGAGAGAGGGACCCCTAGCCAGATAGTGGTAAAGATGACATAACCAAGGGCCCTAGCCTGGCCTGTGTCAGCACAGCGCTGGGCTCAACTACCTGGCAACACTGTGAATGGGGGCGCTGGTGTCAAGGAGGGCTTTTCTGGATTGTCTTCCACTAGTGGAAGAGGTAGCCCTCTACAAAGATACACAAGACCTCCGGCCAATTCTTGGGGTCCCAAGCTCTCCCTTTCTCTATCTTCATTCTGTTCAGGACACAAGCTCAACCTTGGACCCCGAAGTCTCTCCCTTCACCCTCCTCTTCAGAGCCAGTGTCTGCAGGGAGAAAAGACCCCTAAACCAAAGCAGAGGAACAGAGAACAGCCGTATTACCTGCATTGCGCCGGCACATGTTCATGTCTGCCACCTGCTTCCAGGTGTTTGTTCCAGGATCGTAAACCTCAACACTCTTCCTCACTAGGGGCCCGTCGTGCCCACCTGTAGCATAGAGTTGTCCGCTGAGCACCCCAACTCCTGAAAGGCAGAGCACAGTGTTCTAGCCTCAGGCTGCCTAGCATCACTGGAAACCAGGAGGTCAGATCCCAATCCCTGGCTGACGGGCGGGTGACTGCTGTTTTGTTTCCCTGGATCTCAGTGTTTCCATCTGTGGGCAAACACCTGGACCCTTGCTCACCTTCTCTTAAGCCTGAAAACTGGGAAGACCTGTGACACTAGAGACAATGTGACCCCATTTCTGCTCAAGTGGCACAAATACGCACACACACGGGGAGCGGGGGGCCATAAGCCACAAATATGTGTGTATATATATATTTATTTATTTATACTGAATACAAGTTCCTCCTGGGTGGTAAAACACAAGTTCCTCCTTGTGTCTATACTGCCTAATTTTCCTGCAGGGCAGATTTATCTATATATTATAAGAATAAATATAAATATAATATAAACATAAGATACCTGAGCTGAGTGCTTCACTGAAATCTTAAAATCCTTTCACATGAGGCAAGGACATAAATGGTCCCAGAGGAGCCTTGGGACATCCAGAAACAGAAAATGGTCTGTCCCTAACTTGCCCTTAGTCTTTGCACCTGAAAAGGGAAGATGACTCCAAGAAAGGACCATGGGAGGGCTGTACCATGACCTGCTGAGGTTTGTTTTGATAAACCAGATTCATGGGCCCGGCACGTGGCCTAGAGGCTAGAGTCCTCGCCTTGAATGCACCAGGATCCCATATGGGTGCCGGTTCTAATCCCAGCAGATCCACTTCCCATCCAGCTCCCTGCCTGTGGCCTGGGAAAGCAGTCAAGGACAGCCTTGGGACCCTGCACCCACATGGGAGACCTGGAGGAAGTTCCTGGCTCCTGGCTTTGGATTGGTGCAGTACCAGCCATTGCGGTCACTTGGGAAGTGAATCATCGGATGGAAGATCTTCCTCTCTGTCTCTCCTCCCATCTGTACATCTGCCTTTGCAATAAAAATAAAAATAAATCTTTTAAAAAAAAGAGAGAGAGAGAAAAGAAAAACCATATTCACACTGGGCAATGGCACTAAGCTCCCTCAGGTGACTGGGACCTGTAGCCAGGTTCAGACCCAACCAGGCACTGGATTTGTAGAATAAAAACTTTGTATACAAAAGACTGTGTCAGCCTTGTCTGTGTCTGCCTTCCTGTGCCCAACAGTTACAATTCTTAGCAGAAACTTAAAATGACCCATCTAGGTAAAGCCCTTCCAGCATCTATGCCTGTAGGCTGTGGTTTCCAAGCAGTTTCCTGAAACTAACAGCAGATGGTGCTGTGGTATCAACAATGGTCTCCCAAAATTCAAGGGGGCTTCCAAAGCTTCCTGGCCTTCCCTTCCCTGTGGTCACCAGGAGTTAGCATCCCTGGTCCAGAGATGGTCTCCTCCTCCCCCTAAGCATATTCTGGCATTACCTCCCCTGCTGAGGAAGCAGGCAAGCCTGCTGAGGGTACTGCTGCCTCCTCAATTCTATGCCTACCCTCTGGTCTCAACCTCCAACATCCATGAGGCTCCTGACACTTCAGAAGACCTCACAGAGTCAGAAGCCAGGGCCTTGGGGCTGCAGCTGTTCAACCATCCAAACACATTCACCACAAGTATGCAGGATCCAAACTGGGAGGTCAGACTTCCTGAATGCTAGCAGAACACTAGAAGGAAAGGCTGGCTGAGTGCCTGAACCCAGGCTCTGGCAGTGATGTAATGAAAGATACCAGCCACTGTCAGTCTATGTGTGTCCCAGGACACAGCTGGCAGAGGTGTCCCCATTCAGGGCCTCCAGCCAGGGTGAGAGGCAGTGAAATCCACCCAGTAACAACTACACAGGCAGCTTAGCGGCCTCAGCAGCTGTTGTTTCTGAAGGCAGCACCACTGGCAGGGAGCAGCTGGAACTTCCTAAGGCCCCACACTGCCGGTCTCGCTGGCTCTCTGTCCTCTCCTCGGTGTCCTGGAGACCTAAGTGCTCATCCTTGTGTCTCAAGCCACAACAGAGGATTTCTAGAAAGCACAAGACTCAATCAAGACTCAAGAAACCAAAATTACTAAAAGAGTTTTACGAAGGGAAAAGAATCATGTGATTTTTGTGTTTGTTTTAATGAGTGTGTCCTTAGGAAGCCTCTACTGCAACCCAATCACTCCACATCTGAGGAGCCAGAGGCAGAGAGGGGGAAAGGGCGAGCCCGAGGTCATGCAGCAAGTGAGAGCAGACCCAGCACTAGGGGACAGGCCTCCAGATTTGCAGGTCATGCTCCCCTCGCAGCAGGGGCTGCCTCATTAAGAGCTGCACAGGCATGCCCCTCCAAAGCAGCATTTCAGACAGAAACACCTGCTCCTTGCAAATGTCTGTTTTTGTTACTTATGAGCACACCAAGGTTTAGACATCATCCCAAGTAGCCTAATTTCTAAGGAACGCTGAGGAAGTAGTAATAGATTCGGCAAAATGAGATCACAAATCAATCTCCAAAATTACAACAAAAAAGGCACAATAGTGGAAAAATCTCACTGTGAGTTCCCTTTTCAGAAGTCATATGAGCTTTCCAGCTGGCCCAGCCTAGGAACCAGTGGCCACCAATCACAGGAACTGGCAGTGCAGGGCCAGGGTCCAAGGCCTCTGTCTGCCTCCCAGACGCTTTCCTTTGTGCCTGTGAGATGATGGGGAAGGCTGCTGTTCCACTTCCCTAGAATGCAGGGTCTTCCCACGGGGAGCCACTTGGGAAGCCACTCTCCTTCATGCTGGGGATGGGGTGGGAGTGAGGGATGGAGGTTCATCCCTTTCAACGTGGCTCTTGGCCCCAAGATCAAGACAGGCAAGCCCAGCTCTGGCCCCTGAGTAGCAGGGACTCCAGGGCTCATCTTACTGCTTCAGAGCAATGGGACTAACAATTTAGGGACAGGAAAAGCTGACTTTGGAGAAAGAGTTCTAACTTTGCTGCTTACTGACCTTGAATGAATTACTGGGCCCTGCACCCCTGGTGGGTGGAGTCACCATTGGGTCTGCCTTTGAGGGCTGAAGTGAGGATTTGGTTGGCAGAGTTAGAGTGAATGCTTATTACGACAGCACCTGCCATACAGTGTTCACTTTGCAGAGCTGTGACCTCCACAGAGACAGAAGGAATCTCCTAGCAAAGGAGTACCCTGGGAATGGTCTCTAGCTGCAACAATGCCATGGGATGATACACAAGAAAAAGCAAAGACGGGGATAAACAAGGCAGATGTTGACCTGTTTCACTCAATACCCACCTGTGAGCAAAAGAGACCCCGTGTGCACCAGAGGCTCCCCCATACCTGCACCACTGCGGCGAGTGCTCATGTCCGCTACGTAGATCCACTCGTTGGTCGCTGGGTTGTACTGCTCCACGGTACTCAGGCACTGGCGGGATGCCCCGTCATAACCCCCGACAGCATACAGCTTCCCTGCAACAGACCAAGTGGCTGAGGGTAGGGCTGTGGACACTGGCACAGAACTGGAGCCCAGCTGATGCTCCATCTTAAACCCATTGGGGCTCAACCAGTGTTGTAGAACCCTACTTCCAGGGGGATCAGATATTTATTTCTCAGCCAGGGAAGTATCCCACATGGTCCCCAGCCATAGGCAAACAGGTTGGCTTTCTGGCCAAAAGCTCATAACAACAAATGGGATTAAACCCGGAATAATACTCACCAGTGAGAACCTACACCCTCTCTTAGCCCTGATATCTATCCACCCCCTGGGTGACTGGCGGGCAGAGCCTGTGAAAGGCATGTTCACTGCGCAGCCTGAATTGGGGAGGCTAAAATGTTTTTACAGAGTTCACTGTGACCTGAGCCACACAAAAGAGCCCTGAGGCATCAACAGTTTCTATTTTTTAAGTAAAAATACCTTTAAGCTGCTATCTGAGAGCATCATTTCTGCCTGAGGCTGGAGACAGGGAGTGAGGCTGAACAAGGGAGAAGAAAATTGGCATTTGGGCTGTCCCAGAGCAGAGATTCAAATATTTGAGGTCAAGCAACTAAGTCCTACAGTGCAGTGTGACAGTCTTGGGCCCTGGGGGCTGGGGGAAAGAAGCCTACCTACCTCACTTGGGGGACCTCAGACCAGTGGGGGGCCTGGAATGATAACAAGGATCTGGAACACAGGCTGTAGACTGAATCACCATGGCCACATGCAAATCCACTTCACAGATGACTTCACCCGTAGGTTTGTGCTCTCACCATGGAGACAGCAAGGTACATCCAGCAGGTGAAAACTACACAATTGTTCTGTGTCAGGAAGATTCTTGGATTCAACACTGAGCCTGGCTGTGCTTTCTGCCTCAGAGTCCTCTCAACTGAACTTCCTGAAAGAAAGTGATAACCCTTCCCTGGTCTTGGTCTGGCTTAAGTCAAGGACGAAGGACAGGCAGTAGCTCCTCGGAGCCCAGCCACACACATGATGTGTGCTGGCTCACAGGAGATGCTCTCCGAAACACACACTCGGCTGTGGGGCAGCTGCTTACACTCTGACCCTCGCTGCATCTGCTCCTAAAGAGGAACGCTTTGAGGGACCTGACAGTAAATGACCCTGACTTCCTCCGCCTTCTTAGCTGTACCCAACAGCACAGTCACAATCACAAACTGAAGAGAGTGGAGAGGCAGGCCAGACAGTGTGGAGAACTCTGCCGATGAGGCCGTGGGGAAGCACAGGATGCCTAAGCTCCTTCCTCCACACTCTCACCAAAGCCACAAACGAGAGCTCTGCGGCCGCAGGGTGACCACAGAGGGCGAGATCAGCACATTCCCAGTGTGCCTCGCCTACACACACAGGGTGTGCCAAGGATGATGCCTTCCCACTCGCGGCAAAACACGACCAGCATTCAGGCCCCTCTGCTAACCCACAGCACGTGTCAGGCCTGTGGCACTGGGCTTTCTCCTTGAGACTACTCAAGGAGAGGGATCTGCTATTTTTAACCCTTAGTCTGCTGTTTGGTATTTCTGGCTAAGGAACCAGGGAGAAATGGGAAGGTGGCTAGACAGAGCACTTATATTTTGCAGATTAATCAGTTTCTGTTCCACCAAGAAGATCAACTGGCAAGGAGCGATTTTAACTTGGTACGACGAAAGAACCCTTGCATTCAGACAACTTAATATGCCAAGGCAGTATCAGTCAGAGAAGAGCAGTAAGAGAGAAGAATCTTCTTACTCACAAATGAAGTGTGTAAACAAGTATGTGTGTGCGTGTGTGAGAGTGAGTGCATGTGACTGTGAATGTGTGTGAGTGTATTTGAATGTGAGTATGAGTGTGAGTGTGTGTATGAGTGTGTGAGTATGAGCATGACTGTGTGAGTATGAGTGAGAGTGTGACAATGAATATGAGTGCGAGTGTAAGTGTATGAGTGTATGAGTGTGAGTATGAATGTGAGTGTGAACGTGTGAGTGAGTGTACAAGTGTAAGTATGAATGTGAGCATGTGTTTAAGTGTAAGTGTGTGAGTGTATGTACAAGGCCAACGAGAGGTTCTTTGTGGCCTCATCTTATCTCTCCAGGACTCAGTCTCTCCATCTGAAGAGTGGCGATAATCTGGGTCCTGTTTGTCTCCAGAAGGATTTCAGGAATAGAACAAGATTAGAAGCAAGTGTTCTTTACAAACTGACAGTGCCCTAGACCTTATCCCACATAACACTCCCAACTGGAAGAGGCCTCAACCACCAACCAAACCTGCAGAGATGGTCATCAGACTTGGGAAGAGGAACTCAACATATGAACATGTAAACAAAACTCACTAACACAGCGACTGTCCCTCTTGGCAGCACAACAGCCCTGGTTTACATGCGGTTTCCAGATCTGCTTGCTTTCTTTCCCTCTACAACCTTCAGCAGAGCTGCAAGTAGCCAAGGTCACAGGCCTGCGTTTCCCTTCCCACTGCCTGCAACCTAGCTCAGACAGATGTTAGCACTCAGCCAGGGGCTTCGCCTTGCTGAGTCTTGACTTTTCCTCATTACTCAACAAGGACCCTGGCACTAAGAGCTGTGCCATGCAGACTGGGGCAAGACAAAGGGAATATCAAGCAAGCTACTGGATGGAGAAAAAAGGCCCAGGTGCTGGGGCAGGGAGTGGCTACTACCCAAGGCTGCCACTTACCTTCCACTACGCCCACACCCACACTGCTCCGCCGTGTATTCATTGGGGCCACAAAGAACCACTCGTTGGTCTTGTAGCTGTAGGCTTCCACTGACGCCAGGCCTGGGAGACAGGAGACTCGTGAGTTTCCTATGGTATCAGGCCTCAGCCTACTGTGAGAAACAGTGAGGATGAGGGTAAAGTCCAGTCCTGGGGCTAGCAACCCAGAGGCTTGGCTCAGCGCCAGCCCTGCCTTCCTGAGCAGCTGGTGGTGACTGCCTGACACACACCTGTCCTGCCCATGGTGGGACCACTGAGACTTGATCCAAAGGGTGGACTATATGATCTGGAAACTCACAAAATGGAATGCTGTGATTCCAAGGAAAAACCTGAGGCTGCCTAACTCAACACCTATGCCAACCCCCTTGGAAATGAAAAATCTTGCCTTCTAGGACTCCCTTGCAGCCAGGGGAGACTGAGTCAATTGAGCTCTAAGTGGAGGTCTGGTGGGGATTTAAAAAATAGCCTTTGCTTTTCTGATATAGGGGACACTCCTTCCTGCTTCTTTACTACCTGGAACTCAAATGGGTTAGCTGGGCTGTAATAGCTATCAGGTTCTTTAAACAGTGGGACCAAGTCAGAATTTACTGAGAAATGAACTTCTTGTTTCAGAAATAAAACAATGTCCTTTATTTTTTAAAGCTATAGTAGAGTCAGGTTTTATGCTTATAACCCCAAATAATCCCTCAAAGGAACAATGCATTACAACCTTTTTGTTCTCACACTCACTAAAGGTACTAGCCAGAGGGGCTGAAGACCCCAAAGTTTATTTGGGGCGGACAAAGAGAAGGCTGAGAAAGACCATCAGTTACAATGAGAACAACAACAATCCAGAAAAGAAAAATATATATATATATATATATATATACTGTTCTTCATCTCCCTGGAAGTCAAAGTATACAGATGTCATTTAACAGAGTCACTGTCTACAAAGATATTGACCTGGTGATTTGAGTAGGCTGGAGATCTGCTCTCCAAGCCCATGTCCACTGATGGCTTCTGATTGGCATTCTGAAGCTGGATCAAATAGAAAATGACAACATAGCCTTGCAAAATCTCAGGGCCAGCAGGACCATGGCAGAAGGAGCAGCCCAGTCCCTGCTACAGCCGGAGCCAAGTCTCTTCCAATGACAGAGACTCACGTCCTTCTTCTGTCCAGTGGAAGGTAAAGCATCCTGAAGCCCCTTTCAGCTAAACATGCTCTCTCTCTCTTTTTTCCCAACAGTGCAGCCACCATCAAAGAATGATTTTATTTGAAAGGTAGAGTGATACAGAGAGAGAGAGAGATCTTCCACCTGGTTCACTTTCTAAATGGCTGTAATGGCCAGGACTGTGCCAAGTCAAAGCCAGGAGCTACAAACTCCACCAAGTTCTCCCACACGGGTGTCAGGGAGTCAACTAGTTGGCCTACCTTCTGCTGCCTTCCCAGGTATATTGGCGGGGAGCTCAATGGAATGCAAGGCAGTTGGGACCAGACTCCAGCCAGTACTTCCATATGGGATAGCAGCATTGCAAGAGGCAACCTAAACTGACCCCTAACAAAAGAAAGCAATTCTTCTGAGTGGGGATCCTTCTTAGATCCCTAGAAACCACAGTGTGTAGGTCTAGTCCTGGCACCAAAAGTTGGGTAAGGAGGGAGGATGAGTATGCTTCTGGGGCAGTAGATACAAAAGCACAAAGATATTGCCTAAAAACGGGCTAGACCCAGCAGGGTTAGGTGGAGGACATGTCCAAGGCTGGGAGAGGGGGTAGACACGACTTGGACCTACCAGTGCTGCCGTCAAAGCCCCCTACGGCGTAGAGCAGGTCGTTGAGGACTGCTGCACCCAGCGTGCTCCGGCGCTCCTGCATGCTGGCAATGGACGTCCACTGGTCCTTCACACCATCATACACATCCACAGTCCGCACTCGCAGTGAGCCATTAAACCCGCCCACTGCATACACATGGCCAGCCATGAACACCACACCTGTGACACAGGAAACTGAGGTATCAAAGGTCGGGGCAGCTGACAGGAGGATGCAAGTATATGCAGGAAGGCTCACCACAAGAGACAATCTCAAACTTCAGGTTTCTGGGAGTGATAATGGGCTCACTGGGTTGCTTTTCATATTTGCTTCTCTTATTAATTCAAACAAGTAATTGAAGTACTTTAAATCCCAAGCACCTCAGAGCTGACTTTAGACAGGGCAGCCCAACCCTGTGCAGCTAGATAAAGGAAGGGAGCTTGAAACGCACAGGCAAAAGCCTGCAGGACTTCCAGCACAGGGAGGAGGCTGGCTGACTGGGGAAAGGCAGTTTGTGGAACTGACCCGGAAGGCGGTGCTGCTCACCTGCTCTGCATCTCCTGGATGGAAGCTCAGCTATCTGATCCCAGCGGTCCTCTTCGAAATCATAGCACTCCACGCTACGAATTGCCTTGGGTGCCTGGCCGCCAACCACAATCATGACCTCCAGAGAGACAAATGGGTATTAGCTGTATCTCCCACAACCAGAAAAGTGTGTGACCAACCCCTGGAACTTCCCATGTTCACAGCCAGAGTCTGTGGGTGATCTGCAAGTCCATACTACAGAGCTAAAGACACGCAGATGTCACCTCCTCATCATTCACACGTGTGAGTATGTATAGCTATTCAACACACATCTCCTGATAGAAATACAACAGGAAGGCACTGGCTTCCCAATCACCCAGAGTGATTCTGCGGGGAGGGTGTGAAGCTCCTTAAGGTATCTTTGGCAACTTCAGGATCCTCAAAGATTGAGAGGGGGTAAATTATATCAAGATAAATGAATATATTTTAGAAAAGAATATTCAATTTGGATGCATTTTTAAAAATAAAATCATTACTCAAAAATATGTCTGAATGCCTAGACTACAAAGGCACTTGTTTGCTGCAATGTGGGAAAAATATTGTGAAACACTGCTCTGCAATAGGTATCATTTAACGGGTAATGCTCTAAAAAACAGCACCAGCATCACTATTCCCACAGAAAAAGGAACCACAGAAGCATGTTGTCACTCACTCATCCCACAACTCTTCCCACCAGCAGGGGAGGAGAGTCAAGCTCAGAGAACATCCCAAATGGTCCAAGGTCGCACAGCGCAGAGGGACAGAATGGAGACACGCATCTACCTTGTGCAAGGATGAGGCTGGCCCCACCCCACCCTGCTCTAGAGACAGGATCTGTACTAAACAGCTTGCCGCCTCTGTGTCTGTCAAACTGCAGCTCCAATTTCATTCCTGGGTCATGCATTCAACTTCAAAGGGCTGTAACCAGCACACTCGTAATAGCACAGCACAGGAAATACCATGTAAGGATGTTATTTCATGGAATAGTTCATCTGGCTATTCACAACCATGTGATAATCATTTAAACTATCATTCGCTTGCTTTCCTGAGTGGAGAGAAAGGAGTGGAAGCCACTGCCAGTAATATCATTCAAAGAACTTGAGCATTACCTGCAGCCTTTATTATTTACTCAGTGGCTCTCAATCCTCTGGAAGCTTTCTAAGAACACAAAATGCTGGGCCCTGGCCCCAGAATGTCTGATTCAGCAGGTCTAGAGAAAGGCCAAAAACCTGCCTTTCAAACAAATTCCCAGGTGAGGCTGTTGCTGTTTAGGATTCAGCACTCCTAACTCATGGGCTGTAAAGATTTTCTGATGAGGTGCCATTGGCCATCTTCGCCATTATGAGGAATGGTCCCCATTACTTTCCCACAAACATTGTGAAGAGAAGAGAATGATGCTTCAAACCAGAATAAACTGGCAGCAGTTTGCACCCCAGGTGAACACTATCTACCAGATGGGCAGCAAAACCAGAGCTGATGTCAGACCACTGCTCAAGATCAAGCCCTGATGGTCTGATTCCAAACTCAAGCTCACTCAATGCCCGTGTGGGCAGACACTGGTCTTGAGTTGTCTGTGACCTCATGTGGGTGATCACCATCCAGGACTCAGAAGCCAGGCTCCACCTCCAAAGCAGGACGTGCAGCACAGGCTGGAGCCGCAGCTGTTGCTGCTGCCCTGGACACAGACACTCTGCATGCGATCTTCCGGCGTGACTCAGCTCAGAGGGTTCACTGCTCTGGGTCAAGTGCAGCCCTTTTCAGGGACGGTCTGAACTCTGCACTACTCCCCATCTGTGATTCTTTACTTGCTCAGGCATCAAACAGCACTTCAAAATGTGTACAATGCTCTGAGATGAAGAACTGTGCGGTGTGGACAGGACCTCCAGCTTTGGAGGGAGCTCAAGCCGGCAAGGAGCAGCAGGGGCACGTGCTGCCCTTCTCACGGTGAGTCTTGTAAGGAATCATCACGTAGGAGCACTGCTACCACGGTGTCGATCACACAGAGTGCAAAGAATAAATGTCCTACCCTGAATAGTAACGGATGGTTGATTCCATAGATACCTGATCTTAGCAACCAGTTAGCAAACATGAGTACTCCCCAAAGTCTATGCGTATTATGTCTGTGAAATTACAAAGTGCCAGCTACTTAAGAAGGCCAACAGGATATTAGAGCAAATAGAAGGTTGAACCAGTTGCTACTGTAAGTCCTCACTTTTTGTTGGTGGTGTTATTTTTTAAAGATTTATTTATTTCTACTGAAAGGTGGATATACAGAGAGGATGAGAGACAGAGAGGAAGATTTTCCATCCAATGATTCACTCCCCAAGTGATCACAACGGCCAGTGCTGCGCCAATCTGAAGCCAAGAGCCAGGAGCTCTTCCAGGTCTCCCAAGCGAGTGCAAGGTCTCAAGGCCTTGGGCTGTCCTCAATTGCTTTCCCAGGCCACAAGCAGGGAGCTGGATGGGAAGCAGGGCCACCGGGATTAGAACTGGCGCCCATATGGGATCCCAGGGCGTGCAAGGCGAGGACTTTAACCACTACGCTATCGTGCCGGGCCCACGTCCTCATTTTACATTTCCATAACATTCAAGCCCAAGAAGTTAAGTAGGCCTATTTCTTTCTTTGATTCTCTTAATCCCTAATTTAAGTAAAGATTTATGATGCCTTTAATAGGCACCACTGAATCAACTTCCATACATTTAATGATCTCAATTTGTAACGTTTATCCCACAAGGTAGGCCAGGGCAAGAACTGTCAGTAGTATGCGAAGCACAATACACTAAAGAAGCAGTCACAACTGAGCAATCATGCCACACTGGACGTGGGTAAAATTACTCTAGAACTGCAACGTGCTTGCTAATTTTGCAGCCGGGTCTCAGAGTCTGCTGTCTGTGTCAAAGTCTACAGTATGATCATGAACGGAGTGTTCTGCTTGACCATAGGGGTGAGCAGGGCCCCACTGAGCAGTCAGTTACTAGACAGTCCCCAAGAAAGGCAAAGGCTGTTTGCTTTAGGCCTATTCATGAGACAATAAAAAGGCTATCTGATTTTTTGGAAGGCAAATTTCCTCCCCACATAACAAGTATTTAAATAAATACTTAATGTTCTTTCACAGATATGACACTGAGCTGATTTTACACACTGGGCTTGTGGGGTTGAACACACGTTGTTCTCTCCTTGCTAAAATGACACCACACCATGTTGGAGAGTCACTCGGCTCCAAATTCCAACCAGGGAAAGGGACAGAGCTCTGCAGCCCTCGTGTAGATTCAAACACCGACCCTGGCCTTAGGACCACAATTGTCACTATAACCTCCACTGGCAGGAGAACAACCTGGGCTCTGCACACATTTCCCATCAGGCTAGAACAGAGTGGGTGTCCAAACTCTCTTCCATGGCTGGTGAGCTGGGCAGGAGGCAGGCCCAGCCAGTCGGTCCCTCGGGCCAGGGCAGGAAGCCAGAGTCTCTCTTACCCTGGTGCGTGGGGCCGCAGGGCTAACACCGAAAGTCATCCGGAGGAGCATGCTGAGGTCGAGCCCGAAGACTTGTCCAAGCGGGTTCCAGAGCAACAGGTGCTCCAGGCAAGTACTGACAACCCCGTACAGAGACAAAGGAGGTCTGAGAACCAGTGAAGGGTGAGATCCATGAGGACAGCAGGAAAAACAATGGGCTTTACAGTCAGATACATCTGGACTCAGATGTCAGCCCACTCACTAATTAGCTGTCTCACAGCAAGCAAGAAAGGCACTTCATCATGTTAGCCTCATTCTCATCCTCTGATATGAGAGTCAGGAAGCTTAAACAAATAAAACTACTTGGCACAGTGCTCAGTAAGTAGTAAACACTAAATGTCAACTTTTGTTATTATATCAACATCAGCATCATTATTTTTGTTTAAGACAATTACTATGAAAAAACCTGATGTCTAGTAAGTGGTAGAAAATGGACTTGTGAGTTTATGAATGGGAGGGTAAGTGTAGCTGATTCCACAAGTAATGACAGGACTTTGTCAGGATCCTAAGTGTTTGCCAGGGTATAGACCATAATGAACAAAGATGAGAGGGCATTCTACTCATGCCACCAACTCTGCTGCTTTCAATGCCACCTATTGAAATCAGGATGGCCCAATTTCAAGGACAGGTCACACACTCCCAGTGCAAATGGCCTGAAAGTCTCGTTTTTAAAGGTGCTGAATGGAAACACCAACTAAAATGGAATCACGGTAAAAACTGCCAGGTTCACTACATTTCCTGGAAGCACATCTGTCTACTTCCGTCTGCAGAACAGGGCCTATGTGGGAGGGTTCCTGGGGGGCTGGGAGCAGCCTCTTCTTGTCCATGGCACCCTAACTTCAGTGAAAGTGCTAGGTGGTGAATGTGTGGGGACTGCTCTGGCCTGAATGTGTCGGAGTGATCTGTGCATCACCAGCTCCCAACATCCCGACTAGCCTCTGTAGCTACGCAGGTATTGAATCCTATTACTTTCAGGAAGGGGGCTTGGCTGGCGAACAGACTCAATGCAGAAAACACTGCAAATCTCCCTCTGGCACTCCATCCCTTTAAGTTTACCTTGTCTGAAAGCCTAGCTGGATTAAATTAATCAAAGTCCAAATCAGCCTGCCCTTAGAAAATTTGTGGCTCTCCTATTACTACTTTGAATATCTCCTAATTTCTCTGCTTTTCTGGTTGATATATTCCTATCTTAGCAGAAAGCCTTGCTGAGTTAAAAGTGCCCACAGGGCAGGAATCAGGTTCCTCTCTGTGTGGCACCCAGCTAAACTGCTTGTCTTTTGAAGGCAATACAATGTAACAGTGAGAGCAGGGGTCTGGGGCCAGCCACCCACCAACCGTGCTTTAAAGATCAGCCACCAACTCTTTGATCCTCCTACACACACAAACATGAAACGTAAGTCTCCTCCCCTTGAGTGTGGGCTGGACTGCACTCTGATTTCCCTCTGGGAAACAAAATAGGGTGGAAGTGGTATGACGCAGCTTTTGAGGTTAGGCTGTAATTAGACTAAACCTTCTGCCTTAGATATGTTCACTCGTTTGTCCTACCTCAGAGTTATTCATTCTGCAGCAAGTCAGGTACCATGTCAT